AAAAAAAAAAAAAAAGTAGTCGGTCAAAGCTTACTCGTTATCGAGCCACTTCGAGCCAGGGCTGTCGTTACTCGCTGAGGATCGTCGTGACGTGTTGCAAGCGTGCAAGAAGCATCGATTCAAATGCGGATTCGAAAAAGTCATACGGCATCGCGTGTTCACGCTCGGACACGGCCTTGACCTTGCCGTTTCGTTGGTTGGCACAGCTTTATTCGAGGATAAATGACGCGACTAGTATGCGCCATCGTTTCATGCTGGCCAAGCATTATAGCGCGCAACGCGTGCACCAATGGGCATCGTTCGCTCTTCCGCAAATTGCGAAACGTGAAACGGGATAGGAGAAATGGGAAGATAATCTCGAAGGACTATTCTTTGGGGACTTTAGACAAAATTTTAATGATAGATTAGAAAGTGATGAAATTTTTGTTTAGAACTTAACCATGAAATAGTATATAGCTGGGCCATTGATGACTGTAGTAATTTATGTCTGATTACATAAATTATAAGACATTTGATCTTGCTTTATATTTTTATAATATACATTTTCTGCAATAGATTCTAAATCTACTCTAATTTAATTTTAAACTGCAGTTCCCAATCAGTTAAGATAGTGAAACAGACGATGGCCATCCATTGGAAAGAATGTTAATAAAAATTGCGAGAGATAAAGTTGCCTTCCAATCTCCTTCATTTGGAATAAATAATCAAGGGAAATCGCTGTTCGTACCGACGAGCGCATGATGTACACAATGCAAATTCACAAACGAATTATGTCAGACGAGCGAGTTAGCGATCGCAGATAAGAAATCGACCATTCTGCCGATAACGTTGAACGCTTACGACATTGAAATTCCAATGGGATGTCGCAACGACGAATCTCTTTGCCGATATCGCGGTAAGATTACAAGATCGACACCGTGCGTTGATCGTGGGAACTCAACCTTGGCCTTGACTCCGCTATACCTTGCACATCGGTACCGGAATTGAGGTGGCGTGGCCAGTAGTCGTAACACCGGCAGTCTCGCCAGCCGTCGACGAGCAACAAACAAAGCTCTTTTTAGATCGATAACTCGCTGGCTCGAGAGTGAAAGGCGAAAGAGAAAGAGATGAATCGACGCAACGCCAACAGAGTTTCTTTGCAATTCACCATTTTCTGCTCACCTCCGAATATTTGCCTGCTGACGAAAAAGGGTTGATCTACAATATTCAGGCTTGATCTTTACTTTTCCCATTCATCTAATATTCATCAAATGTTCAGATAAAAAAATAAAGACTGTTATCTACTTCTGCCATAGGTATCCAGTGTATTGAATTTGCCCGAGGAAAGTGGATACCCAGACTAATTTATTACACGGTAATATCTTTATGTAATATCTTTTAGAAGAAAGTTCAAAATGGGAACACGACGAAAAGGATGGAGAAGTTTTGTTGAGAAAGAATTATTCGTTGTAACGTCAAAATGACATTGAAAAGTAAAAAAAGGTATGTAATTAAAGTTTTGTTACATTTAAATGAATCACAAAATGAAATTATATTTCGATTTCTATCAATTGTCCAAGTATCATGTACATTTTTCGTTAGACATATGTCAGAGAGAGAAATAATAAAAATGCGCGTAGCTGAAGGATCTCGCGAATAGAAAAGAGAGTGATTAAACTAGGTCCCCCCCCCCCCCCTCGAGAAATAATAGTCAACACTTGAAACACTTGAATGCCAACGCACCAAAAATGAAAGAAGGAAATGAGAAAATATGATCAGTCACGATGAAAACGAACTACGGTATATACATAGTAATACTAACACTAAGTAAGAAGCAAAGTGTAGAACGCAACGGAAAGGAAACGTCAAAATCAGGAAGATTAACTGAGATGCCGATTACACTTGAACGATAAGACTGATAATGCAGATGATACTGATATCACTGAAGCTGGCCTCTCCGATTCGTTGTGTATATCGATCGCTACTGCGACGTCACACCGACGTCAGCCGAATGAATTCGGTAGAGATCGGCTTCAAGACTTCCGATGCCTGAGGCTCGGCGCATAACTTGCCGATTTCGTCAGGTCGCTACAATGCAGCGAACGTTGCGGCAACAACGTGCATAGGAAGTAATTCACAGGCGGGGAATTTAGCACCGTAAATAACTGATGAACGATAATTAATATTGTCGTTAAAAAGAAAACGTACTTTAATTATAAAAAATAATATTTATAGAATTCTTTCCATCATCGACAACGTAGCTATTGAATACAATTCTTTTGTGACTTGTGAGAGATTATTCATGAAATGCTGACATATAAAAACGATCTGTTTCATAAAAGCTTTAATAATGCTTTATGTTAAATAACTAATGATCGATTGTTACGAGTATTGAATATCAATTAATGGCACGTAACGATTGTTGTTACCTATACCATCTGTTCGAAAATCTTAGAAGAATTATATTGGAAATAATTATTTAAAGAAATATTTCTTCTTTCTATGATTTTATTAAAAGATGACTGTAATTTGAAATTCATAATTTGCAGCAAGCTCTATCCCTTGTGATGAAATTTCTTGAAACGGCGTAAAAGTACTACTGTAGTAGATCTTTCGACGATGGAGCAATAATAGAAGCGATAAAAGAATATC